CCCTCAGCCCACTTGTGCCTCTCACAGTCTGAGACCCTCGGGAGATAACAACCTGCTGGCTTAGGCCCACTCCCAGGTGGCAGAGGGCAGGCCCAATCCCTAGGTGCCTGCCCCGCAGCCCCTGGTTGGGCTCAGAGCAGGGCCGATTGGGGAGTTGGGGCACCGCCCACTGTCATGCACAGAGCAGGGCGGATCAGGAGGTTGTGATGCCACCCTCAGTCACACTCAGGGTAGGGCCAATTGGGGGGCTGGGGCGCCGGCCCCGTCACACTCAAGGCAGGGTCGATGGGGAGGCTGGGGCGCCGCCCTGTCACCCACAGAGCAGGGCCGATCAAGGGGTTGGGGCACTCCACCCCTCACACTCAGGGCAGGGCTGATGGGGAGGTTGCAGCTCCACCCCGTCACACACAGAGCAGGGCCCATGGGGGGGTTGGGGCGCCGCGCCCTGTCACACACAGAGCAGGGCCGATCAGGGGGTTGGGGAGCTCCCCCCTATCAGGCACAGAGCAGGGCTGATCAGGGGGTTGGGGCGCCTTCCCCTGTCACGAACAGAGCAGGGCGGATAGGGAGGTTGTGGCCCCGCCCCTGTCACACACAGAGCCGCAGGGCGATCAGGGGGTTTGGGCGCTGCCCCCTGTCACACTGCTCCAGGGGCCAGGAGGCCTTGCGGCTCCGCTGATCCCGGTGCTGGGAGCCATATTACCCTTTTACTATATAGGATAGAGGCCTGGTGCACGGGTGGGGCCGGCTGGTTTGTCCTGAAGGGTGTCCTGGATCAGGGTGGGGGTCCCCACTGGGGTGCCTGGCCAGTCTGGGTGAGGGGCTGAGTGCCGTTTTCAGGCTGGCGGGTGACTGAAGCTACCAACCTCTCCTTTTTTCCTTTTTTTTTTTTTTATTCTTGGATTTATTTACCTTCTATGGCTGTCACTGGAGCTGAGAGCCAGCTTTAGCTGTGAGACCTCGCTGCTGAAAGCAGGTTTCTGGCTTTGTTTACCTTCTGTATTTGAAACTTTGTTGTGACTCCAGCTCTGAGATCCGGACAGGCTGAAAGCAGGTTTCTGGGGTTTTGTTTAGCTTCTATATTTGTAACTGTTTCTTATTAGCTCAGAGCCCAGCAGTGGCAGGCGGGGAACCTGGCTTCCTCCGTCACTGGAGCAAGCAAGCCTCCTGTTTGTGTCAGTAGCCTGGCTGCCGGCCGCCATCTTGGCTGGCAGTTAATTTGCATATCGCCCTGATTAGCCAATGGGAAAGGTAGCGAAGTTACGGCTAATTACCATGTTTCTCTTTTATTAGATAGGATATATTAAAGAACAGTTATTATTGACAGTACAGGATTTGGGAAATTCTAGAGCCTGAGCTGTTAGGGTGACCTCCTGCCCTGGTTTGCCCAGACTGCGGAGTTCCCTGGGACACAGGACTTCTGAGTGATCATACCTGGAAAGACTCTGGCAAGCCAAGGTGAGTTGGTCACTCTAGCTCAGTGGTTCTCAACCTGTGGGTCACCAACCTTTGGGTTGCAACCCCTTTGAGGGTCAAATGACCCTTTCACAGGGATCGCCTAAGACCATCGGAAAACACATATATAATTACATATTGTTTTTGTTATTAATCACTATGCTTTAATTATGTTCAATTTGTAACAATGAAAATACATCCTGCATATCAGATATTTACATTATGATTCCATAACAGTAGCAAAATTACAGTTATGAAGTAGCAATGAAAATAATTTTATGGTTGGGGGTCACCACAACACGAGGAACTGTATTAGAACCACTGCTCTAGCTGAAATGAATCTTAAGCCATTAAAACCAACATTTAAATTTATTTCTACTCTCTGTGCATTCTTGAGTATGTTACTAACCCTCTCTGAACCTTAAATCTCTCATCTGTGGAAGTGTTTTTATGAATATTAAATTCGATTAAATTTCCCAGCACATTTTCTGGCCCTTAGTAGATAAAAAATTGATATGTGTTTCTATTTCATTTTCTTAATTTGGTACAGCAGAATGTAATGAGTGAAATGGGATGAATGGGAGTTGTGGCAAAGCGGTTGTAAACGGAAGCTGTACCTACTCAGCCTTAGCAGCTGTGGCCACTTGGGAAAGAAGACCCAGTATGCCAGATCGTACCAGTTTTTTCTAGAGAAGCCATGCGTATTATTTTTTATTAGAGATATACTTATTTGAATATGTTGACATCACACTTAGGACTTTTAAAAACAAATGTAAGAGCATATCAAAACATTTTACTGGCCTTCAATTCTTTCACTGAGTCTCTTAATTACATAAGATAGTGAGATTGGATAAGAAAGTTTATTCTATCCAGATGGAGTACTCACAATTATGAAAAGGAATCAAAATAAATCAATAATGATCCCTCCCCCCCCCTCCCCCCCGCCCCGGCAAAAAAAAAGACAGAACATTCCCAGGTTTGAAGTTTGAGTTATCTCCTAAATCTAACAACTCAAGTCTGGACTTGTGGGGTTGCAAAATGATGAAGATAGAACCTACTAGCAAAAGCTTCACGAAGTGCTTGCAAACATTAGCTGACAGATTTCAGAACAATTTTAATATTAGTCATCACAGATAAGCCTGCCAAAGAGGGCAGAGTGTTAAAGAACATCTGCAGCACACACAAATACCACTTGCTGAGTTCAACCCAGAGAGGAAGTCAGCTTCTAAAGTCACAGAAGGCAAACCAGCAGAAGCAGCAGTTTTAAATGAAGTGGGTCAACCTTTCTCAGTGGGTGAAGCTGCTATCAGGAACTTGTTAGCTTCCAATATATTGCATGTTTGACCTCTAGCTTTTAGTGACAAGACCTTTTGAGGAGTATTTGGACTCATCCTACCCAATGAACCACTTATACTGTATAAATTGAATTAATTCTGTCAAGTATGGGGATATTAGATGATTAATACTCCTGAGTTATGATAATTTCATGACATGATGAAAACCCTCATGTACCCTGGGATGTATCTAATTGCATTGTAGGACCAAGACGGCAATCACATTGTAGCATTCGCTGAGAAAGCAGCAGAGCCATGGAGTACTGTCTTGAACTTTTCAGAGAACATAAAATGAATTAAAAGAAAACAACAACAAAAAACCAGCCTGCCAAACACTGGTGGGGTTTGGTTGGGGAGGAAAAGTCTCCCACGTGAGTTGAGGTCCTAATTCAGAGATTGGCTTTTTGAACTTAGAAAATGTTGCTGATGTATGGTGATCTGTTTTATTCTTTATCTACAGTTCACCAGTTATGCAGCTAAAGGAGACTTATTTGAACCAATAAGATCAAAGGTTTGTCCCAGGTGGAAGATAATTTTGTCGAGTGTATTATTTTAAGACTGAGAGTCAGGATGAAACTGCAGAGTTTGAAAAGTGACGGGGCTGCTTTAAGGCAGAAACAGGAAGTTGTAACTAGAAGCCATGTGAATGCCAAGCCAGCAGAATGCTCATCAAGTGGCAACTTAGCTAGTGTTTACTCTGAAATCCTCTGGCAGCCGGCTATTTTGCGGGAAATCCGATAAAACAGCCCTTGCCAGGTTTTATGAGGACCCCTACACAGACGGGATGGAGAGGCAGCACAGACTCCTGGCAGGGAAGGATGACAACCAGTTCCAACACCAGGGAGCCGTGGAGCTGCTCATCTTCAATTTTCTGCTCATCCTGACCATTTTGACCATCTGGTTATTTAAAAATCATCGTTTTCGCTTCCTGCATGAGACCGGAGGAGCGATGGTGTATGGTGAGTGCAGCCCCTGCAAGGCTGATGGGAAGCATGTTGCTTGGGAAACTGGAGACTCCTGCTCAGATGGCTCAGTGCCAAAGCTGGAGGAAATGCCCCCACCAAGAAGTCAGTAGCTTGGTGGAAGGTGCTGCAACATAAGGAATGCTCATCTCTACAGTTAGCTGCTGACAGTTGCCTTGTCATCTCATAAAAGTCAGAGTCCTGTTCTCAGGACTGGCAAGTCTGTGGAAAGATGCAGGGCCATTGTCATGTGTGGAGTCAGACTTGGAATTCTTTGTAAAGATAGACCTGGGGAGGATGTCTGCCATGGCAGCAGGGACCTGGGAGCATTAGAAAGTTCTAGAACTAATATCACAAAAATGTCTGAAGTAAATCCCCTACACCAACAAGTTTTCAAGAAGAAAACTTGCAAAAACGCTCTCCACCCCCTTTTGCACTAATTGTGTCAAAATCCATTTTAATTATATGAGCAATGTTTTATCTTCTGATATATGAGTTTCTTAATGCAGTACTTTCTATTTTTTAGCCTCATTTCAGACTTTCTCAGTTGTAATTGTTGTCATTATTAGTATTATTGCCTATGTATCTTTTTTTTTTCCATAGTAGGGTGTGTGGAAATGCACTTGTTTAACATCTAAAACTCTCAAAGTGTTGCTTTTTCTGTGTAATTTACAATGTCATTCTTTTCAGAATAAAATGTGACAAAGATTATCCAGGCTGTACTTTCATCTTTTAAAGTAAAATCCAAGCCACCAGTGGTTTAAAAACTGATCTTATTGATGAAATAGTTTACTTTACCACTGTTATCTCAGCCTGATAATGGATAAGAACTTTGAGCACAGTGGAGACAGGTGTAGCATTGTTATAATTCATAGCAAAGAATATGCTTTTACCATACTTTGCTTCTATCATTTTGGAAGTCCTGAGGCCTTTAATGTCATTCAGGTTCAGGGATGGGATCAATCCACATTTTATATGCTAAGCTAACCCAATGAAGTCCCCATAATAATGATGCTTAATCAGGATTGCCTCGCCCTAACTGGATCCCACTGTGAGACACTGGAGCAGGAGGCAGAAAGTTCAGGCTGAGCAGTGTAATTCCTTTCAGGAGACTGACAAACTAAGCCTTTCAGAGCACAGAGTTAAATTTCTTTGTATTGAGAGTCTTAAATCAACAACAAAACTCTCAAACAGAAAGGAAGTGATATTGTCAGATGTCAAGCCCGAAGCTCCAGACACTTGCCCTTCTCCATCATCAGTGGGCCAGGATCTTTCTCTTGAGTTAGCTAATAAATAATCAATGAGGATATGAGATGTAATTTGAAGAGCCAGAAACAATGTAATTCTAGGCATTACATTAAAGGGCTACATATGGTTTAGCAAAACTACAGATTTTAAAATTAGAAATCTTTATTAGAGGGAAAGATTTCTTCACAGCCCTGAATTTGATTGAACTGTGACTTATTTACCAATTTCAGCTTATCTATGATAGAGATACTGTTGTGTAAAACTTTTGATTAAATTTGGTGACATTAAAATTAAAATATACTTTGTACTCACAACAAATAAATGTAACTTTTATTTTGCACCTGAAATTTTTCAGATTACCTTTCATCCTCAAAAACTCCATGAAATACTTAAAAAAATCTAATAAAGATTGACCTCTAGCTTTTAGTGACAATAAGTTGAAGGTATTAAATATGTCCCCTTTTTTTTCTCCACTGACTCCTTCTAGCCCATGCCCAACCCCTGCCCCAGGTCTTCACCAACCTATTTGTCTGTGCCCATGGGTTATGCATATATGTATACAAGTTGATCTCTTTCCATCCACCCACCCACTCCTGCCTTGCCTCTGAGATTCAACAGTCTGTTCCATGCTTCTATGTCTCTGGATCTATTTTGTTCATCAGGTTATTTTATTCATTATATTCCACATATGAGTGAGTCATATGGTACTTGCTTTTCTCTAACTGGCTTATTTTACTTAGCATAATACTCTCCAGGTCCCTCCATACTGTCTCAAAGGGATCCTATACTTTTAAGTAGTGATTGAAGTGATAAATATTAGCACATTGCACTATAGTTGAAATAGCATTTCTCTAGATTGGTATTATTAAGGCAGTTTATGTTTAAAGGTAATGAGAGTGAGAGTAAGTTGAGCTGTCTGATTTCTATCATTTCACAGTTTATTTTATGCCAAAATTATTGAAAGCAATTTCTGAAACAGTGCATTGTAAAAGGATTATAAAATTGTGAAGACATTACTATTCCAGTACTAGAATTTTGTTTTCCTTGAGTTATCTTGAGCTATAATCAATTAAAATAATTTTCTTTTAGTGTTGTTTAATGTTTTTGTTGACCTAAAATTAAAGTTGTTGGAATTTAAGAGGATCTTCGAGGTTATCTTCTCCAGCTCTCTAATTATACAGAGGAAGAAAGTGAATCTCAAAAAAGTGAAATAACTCCCCCAAAACTTAATAGCCACTCATGTCATGGTCCATGTGCTTTTACTCCTCTTCATATGTAATAAGGTTCATGTCCGTCTTAAAAGAGCGCTCACTGATAGTCTCTGAAATAGTCCACAAGGATGTCATTAGTGATTTCTCATAGTTCTTCTTTAGTGATGATCTAAAGTTTAAATCCCAGTGCTTACTAGAGACTTTCTGTCAGTGATATAACAAAATAGTCTGAAACAACAGAGGAACAAGATGGGACTTTCTAATAAACACTTTAAATGATAAGGGGAGAGGAGAGGCCAAGTAAATAAATTGCTCAGTAGCTGTAAGTGAATTTGAAATTCACAGGTGAAAAGAGGCCTTAGCACAAGTCCAACATCCTCAGTTCACAGGACAGAAAACAAAAACTTATAGAGGTAAAGGTTATTTAATTAGTTAGCCACTGTGCTGGGATTCAACCTCCATCTCCAAGAGATGCCAAAAGCATTTTAAAATTAGTCAATTCTCTCAATGATTGTCCTGGAGAGAAGAGGTATCTGTGAGCTCCAGTTGCATCCTCAAACTATTTATGCTTCAGGATTAGTCATAGATTCCACTTTCTAGGCAGTCCAAGAGGGAAATTGCAGGATAAGGCCATATAAACCCCTCTTTCTTCAAGGATGAAACTCATGGTTTTTGCTGGAGTCCTACCAAGATCATGATGATAATCAATGGGGAAGAAAATAAACCAAACTATGGTTAAAATTTAAATTAAAAAAATTTTTTAAAGGAGATGAACATTTGAGAGTTAAGTGTACCTCAGTCATCTCCACCCTATAGATGGATATACTTGTAATGAAGCATCTTCTAAAACTTTTTGAGGAGGTACCTAATGCTTATCAATGAAGTTGGCTAACAGCCCTCAATGGCCTGAATACTGCTCTTGCTCTTAACTTTTTGTATAATGTGACATTTTCTCTGTATCGAGAAACATAGCTATTTTTCTAAAACAACAAATTTTCTGTAATACCTCAGCCCAGTATGCCATCTGCCTTTCTGATGGTATTCAGTTGGTATGTTTCAAATAGTCTTTAGAAGACAATAGATATTGATACATTTTATCAGTATACCAGAGAATCCAATGAAAACATTTTAGGGAGCAGGGCCTTAGGAAATGAGCAGTTAAAGTAAAATGAAAGAAAAAGTGATTAAACATAACATTTCACTGCTCTTTTACTTAATGTTATAAACAATTTCCAAGTTGTTAACCTTAAAATACAGGGGTGGGCAAAAGCAGGTATACAGTTCTTCATATGGAAAGAGACATGCAGATTATAATTATTACAAATAGCTTTATTGACTCAATAGAATGTCACAATGGCACAGTAAACCTAGTTTTGCCCACCCTTGCAAGTATTGTTTGATTTGAATTTGTTCTTTGGAAATAGAGCTGCTACTCCAAATCCAAATAATCCACTATATGAAAAATAGCTTTTGTCTTGGTATTAAGGGCCACAGGATGCTTTTAAAAATTAGTGGCAATATTCTAACAATATTTTTATCTCACCAGGAATAGTAATGGGTAATTGTGTCTCGTGATATACTATGGCTCTCATTATTTCAAAATGGAAGGATGAGAGTCCATAACTAATTTAAAATATATGCTATGAAGACACTCATCTAAATTGGACTAAAAGCCTAAATGACTATTAATGGTCAAAGTATTGATTGATAGCAGCTTGGTGCACTTAGCGCTGCTCACTTAGGTCTGTGTCTCCAGCTCCTGTTCATAAAGAAAAATGCCCCTGGTGTCCTGATAGCATTGAGAGTTCCATTACACATCACTGGGCGCCTCCTTACTTCATAGGACACTCATAATGCCCTGTGCTCAAGGGCTGGGGTTGGAGCTTAGGGACAGACAATTTAAACCTCTTAGAATTCCACCTTTGACTCCATGGCCTTACAATATATGGCACAGCCTCTGAATTCATGTGGACATTTTGCTCATTATTTAGTGGGTAGAAGTGAAATTTTAAGCCACAAAGTTTATATTTTTAATTCATTAAACTAAGTCATATTAAACTATTAAATTATATCTGATTCTTAAGAGTATACTTAGCAGTATAATAGGACCAATTTAGTTCATTCAGAAGCATGTTTTTTTAAATTTAAAGAAAATATAGTTACATAGTGAATCAACAAGGTTTTTAAAGCCATCGTTCTTTAAAAAAATCATAAGGCATCCATTTCATCTTAGCACTGTTCAGAGGATGCTCAGGATAAAATTGGGTTGTTGGACAAAACATGGCTCAACCCTGCTGATCCATATGTCCTGCTCCAGTCTGACCCTGTCTCCAGGCCTGCCCAGCCCAAGGGATAGGCTCACAATACTCCCCACCTTCCCTACCTGGAAGATCCTTCCCAAGGTTTTACTGGTTCAAATGTGTCAGGCTTTATGGAGAAAGCATTGGATCCTCTCTTGGGCATTTGAGTTTTTAAATCCCAATAAAAATTTTTTTTTCCGAGTTAGATGCATTACTTTGTTCAAGTGACTTAACCTCT